TTCATAGTGGTTTATCTCATATAGACAATCCCAGTCTAAAGGAGTATCATGGGTGAACAAATAAAGGCAGATACTGTCTGTCAAATGGAATTAATTGCTCCTTTAGAATATAACTGTACAGTGTAAACAAAAATTTAGCAGATAATCAGTCACAATACACTCCTGAGAATCAAAAAGTTGCTGGGTATCTTAATAAAGTCATCCAAATGTGGAAGTATTATTCAATGTATGAAGAAAAGATTTCAGGTGGCTATTAATGGCACAAGTGACAGGTGTAGAAATTCTTTAAGACACACTGTCATCACACACTACTAAAATCTTACTTGGGAAAAATGGAAAGGAGAATAATATATGTGGCTCTTTAAAACAAGTAAGACAGAAAGAACAAACATCATACAGGCAAGGGAAAAAGCATAGGAAGATGCATTTTTAAACCTGGAAAGAATATCTTATGGCCCTAGAAACAAGTCTCCTGATGGTCTTTTTCATTTCAGTATTTCTCAGGGTGTAGACCATGGGATTCAGCACTGGAAAAAGCATGCTGAAGAAGATGGAGGCCACTTTGTCCAGTTCAAATGTCTTGAAGGGTTGAGCATAGATGAATATTCCTGGAAAGAATGTTATGCTTATTGCCATTATCTGGGCTATTCAGGTAGACAAAGCTTTGTGCTTCCCTTTGGTGACTTGCCTCCCTATCTTGACTAAGATGACAGTGTATGAAATGAGGAGCAAGACAAAAACTACTATGAGGAGCAGTCCACCATTTGAGACCAATAGCAACTCTGTCAGGTAGGTGTCAATGCAGGCAATTTTCAATACTTGTGGAACATCACAGTGGAAATTGTCCAGTGTGTTAGGATCACAATAAGGTAAAGGGAGAAGCAGAGCAATCTGTGTTGCAGAGTGAGTGAATCCACCTGCCCATGACCCCGCCACTAGACCCACACACACCTCATAGTTCATAATTGTCCAGTACTGCAAGGGTTTATGGATAAGCCACATATCGATCAGCTGCTATCACTACAAGAAGGAAGATATGAGCACTACCAATGAAGTGGAAGAAAAACATGTGGAGGATGCACTCCTTGAATGGAACAGTTTTGTGCTGGGAAAGGAGACCTGACAATAGAATGGGAGTATTTACTGATGATTCAGTGATATCTGTGAATTCTACTTTTGCCAGGAAGAAGTACATGGGCATGTGCAAGTGGTAGTCAGTAATAACAGTGGTGAAGATGGTGATGTTTCCTAAGGAGGTCATCAGGTAGACAATGAAGAAGATGGTGAAGAGGAACTGATGAATCTTAAGACTGTGGTTGAAGCCCAGGAGGACAAATTCCATCACAGGTTTGGTTACATTCTGTGGCTTCATTTGTTACCATCCGAGCATGCCTGTGAGAGGTACAATGTAGATGAGAGGCTGAGGAAAGTAAGCTTTTCAACACCAGCAGAGATAATCTTTCCCTTCCCTGGCTCAGAAACCCTTGTCCTAGCAACCTCTTTATATCCTTGCACTATACAGTGGAAACTTTGCTCAGTGGAGGTAGCCTCAGTGTTAGGAACTCTTTCTTTGATCTTCAGTTTGGCTCCTCTGCATCTCTACCCTTAAAATCCAGTGTAATTTTACAACTTGTTGCTGTCTTCATAAACAGACTTCTTTCTCCCCAATAATGCAGGCTTTGCCCCTCCTCTGTGCAACCATGATTTTCTTTAATATTATTACCTTTTTCCATTCACAAATCAAGACCCCTTATACAACATAGGACTGCTTTGTCTGCAGTCTCAAAGTTGCCTGATTCCTCTCCTCCAGAAAGGAGGAACAGGAAAGAGAAAACAAAATAAATAAATAAAAAACCTCTGCTCATACATTATTCTGTCTAAGCATCAAAGCAGATGCTAGGAACTAAGTTAGTATGCAATTTATATGAGCTTTCCTGGGACTGAACAAAAATGGTTTTGCCATAACCATTAAGGGATTCTTGCTCTGGGAATCATTAAGAACATAGAATCATAGAATCATAGAACCACTTTGGTTGGAAAAGACCTTTGAGATCATTGAGGCCAACCTTTAACCTAACCCTGACATCCCACCACTAAAACATGTCCCTAAGTACCTCAACTATCCTTCTTTTAAATACCTCCAGGGATGAGGACTCGACCACCTC